AGCCGTACGTCCTATCTGAGCTGTGAGTCGCCCTCAGGAGGGCCCCGGGCCCTGCCTCCAGAGAGGGCACGTCACCAGGGGCAGTCATCCTCACACCACCCAGAGGCTACGTTGCTGCAGCTCTGGGCATGGCAGGGAGACCCCAACTGGCTTGCCCTCTCAGGCAGGAAGTAGGCTCCTTGTCCTCCAGAGTTGACTGTGGTACCCAAGAGCTCAGAATCTCCAGGCCTCTAGCCTCAGGCTGAAACCAGCAGGGGAAGGGGTCAGGGGAGGCTGCCACACAGGCTTCTCATTGTATCTACCCCTAGGACCAAGGGAGGACCATCCTGGGACCTTGCTGCTGGAAGGTTGAGGTCCTCAGCTTCTCCTCCTCCATCCTCTCTCCTCTGCCGTCCCATCGTCTTCTGCCTCACAAGCATCACCCCTTGAATCTTCTTGCATCCTTGTCTGTCCCATTTCTCTCCCTGCTCTGAACTTCTTCCATCTCTTCGGCTTCTTTCTTTGGCTTTGGCCCACTCGGAAGAAGGGCCTCTCATCCAGGCCTGGTGGCTCATGACTGTGTGAGCACTGACTCATTCTGCTAGTCTAAAACCCCGACTAGTCCTGGGATCCCCTCCGTAGAGAGGTAGGCCCAGGGCCGCCAACAGCCAAACTTAGCTTCAGGGCAAGGGGGGCACCATTGGAGGTAGAGTGGGTCCTTCTCTGCCCCTTAGCAGTCTTCTGGGGCCTGGATAACTCCTGGGGGCATTGCATGAGTGGGGTCAGTGCTGGGTGGGGGGGGCACCCCACAGTTTGGAGAAGTTGGTCCCTGCCGGCTGGCATGGTTTGAGGAGCCTGAGCTGGGGCACAGTGCGGGACAGGGCTGGAGAGCTAGGCATGCCTGTGTCCTCAGTGCGGACCCCTGCACACTCCTGGTCTATGCATGGATGCATGTAGACCAGAAGGAGGGAGTTCTGGAAGAAGTAGCCTGGCCATCTTCCCTGAGGGTGAACCCCGAGCAGGGCTCCATGCTGAGTGCAGTGGGACTGGCCAGCCCCGAAGCTGGGGCAAGGGCATGAGAGGAGGAGATGGCCAGCCTGATCCCCCCTTCTCCTGGGCAGCCCCCCCATCAGCCATGAGTATTATGACCCAGCGGAGTTCATGGAGGGCGGCCCGCAGGAGGCAGACCGTGTGGACGAGCTGGAGTATGAGGTGAGCCAGGTGGCCAGGGCAGGGCCCACAGCCAGCCTCAGGAGCCAGTCCTAGGACAGCTATCTACAGCCCAGCCCAGGCCTGGTTCCTGCTGCTTCCAGGAGGCTGGGCCTTGTGGTCCTTCCCAGTGTGTGGCTGGTTACTCAGGCTCACCCACCAAGTCTGGCTGAGTTGGGGAGGGCACGGGTAAGGTCCTACGGTCAGTTTATGTTGGTGAGTCTGTGTCCTGCACATGTCCGTGTCTTGTGCATCCTGTGTGTCTTGTCTCGTTTGTATGTCTTGGGCATTTCCTGGTAGAAAAGACTAGTGAACACATGTGCTATTTTGGGATGGTAAGAAGAAAGATCCTCCAAATGTGAGGCTGGAAGCTCAGTTCAGGTGAAGTGCTACTGGGGGTTAGGGCTGGGTCGCGCCTGCCAGCACTGCAGCATGGGTCCTTGGTCACATATTTCTGGGGCTTTCTTCCTCTGCTTCCCCCACTCCCCCTTGTGACAGGAGGTGGAGCTATATAAAGCCAGCCACCGGGACAAGCTGGGCCTGATGGTTTGCTATCGCACCGATGATGAGGAGGACCTGGGCATCTACGTTGGAGAGGTATGAAGGTGGGGATATGAGGGTGGAGTCTTCTAGAAGGCAGCAGAGCCCCATGCCAAGACATCTTCATTGTGCTAGGACCTCAAAGCTGGACTTTGATGACCATCTGTACTGCACTGGTGAGGGGAATGGGCACCATGGTTGTGTGTGCTGAGGCAGGGTCTGGCACACAGAGAATCCCCATACCATCCAACCTCAGCCTTTCCACACTGCCCAGGGCTCTAAGGCTTCTCACAAGGACCCAGTTGCCAGGGATAAGGCCTGCTTAGCATCACAGGGAGGCTGCCAGTCAATGAGGCCAGGGCAGCCAGTAGCTTCAGTGTATGTCTAGCCTGATAGCCCTCCCCCAGCACACATGGCCAGGGTGGGACAGTGGGCAAGGCTGAGGCAGGATGAGGTCCTGGCCAGGCTTTGTTCTTCCTCCCACATCTTGCAGCCAGCCCTCCTGGCACTCATGGGGTCATTCTCCTTCACCTGTCTGTGTGTCCTCAGGAGGAAGGATGACTTCCCTGCTGCCTGCCACACTCTAGCAGTATTTTAATCAAGTTAACCTTCATATGAACATCCTACTGCTGTTTTTTGAGTATGGGAAAGTATCCAGCTTCCTGCATCTGCCTAGCCTCTGACACAAAAGAACAGGCTTCCATGCAAAAGAGTGTAGGAGGGGCAGTCAGGGCATGGGCATGGG